AAGGGCAGGTAGGTGAGCTCAGTAGTACAATCAGCCCATCAAGTGACAGTCTCCTGGAGATCTCTGTGACCCAATCCATCACACACATCAAATTCTTTTTTGAGCCCTGTTAATATGTTCAGCCTTCAGCATATCCCATGGCAATGAGTTCCACAAATTGACAGGGTGTTGAATGAAAAAAACCACCCATCTTTATATTTGTTTAAAACCTGATGCTTATTGAAAAACAAATAATACTTGGAAGTCCTTAGCAGGAACTTCATACTGTCTATCCACACTTTTGGAAGAGGCAGATATTGACGCTGGAGCCTGCCACAAGTCCACTGCTGATTTTAACAATTCCTTGTTAATAAGCATAGTGGGTCTACTAGGCCTGAGCATGAGTCAACCATGTCTAGCAGCTTTTGAGATTTCTCCTACACTAATTCCAGTGGGATGTCAAGGGTCTTGGCCATACAGTTCTTCAGTTTTGGAATGCCTTTAAGTCATCAGTTGGACAAAGTAGAGGGATTGTCTATCGGGGAGAAGGACGAATTATTACCAGGTTCCTCTACCCCTGCTTGTTACAGCCTCGTCTCTCTTTGGGAAAGGCGATCTTATCCTATATGAGAAGGAAGAGGATGTTGGTTTGAGGGCATGTCACTGCATATACCAACTAGCCCAGTAGGGAAGTGACTAATAAGTAGGAACCATAGGGCCTACTCTGCCCTTACTGGCTTGAGTGTGGGAACAGAAGTTATATCTAGAAGACAGGCCCTCCCCCAACAAGCACTGCTAACCAAAAAATCCAATACAGGTGCATTAGGTAGAGTCCATGTGGTTAATCACTTGATGAACAACAAGGCAGTTAAAGCTTCTCCCAATTTCAGTCTTTACTGGAAAGTTCATTTTGCTCCTACAAGTAATGAAGTAGAACTTTAACCTCTCTCTTTCTTTCTGATGTGGCCCACAGGCTCTTAGCGGACTGATGCTAGGGATTTGTGGATTGTAGAGCCCAGACCTTCAGAGCAGCAGTCCCACAAGAGTTTTTATATCAGAAAGGCCATATTGGGTCAGATCAAAGTCCATCTAGTCCAGTATCCTTACAACAGTGGCCAATGCCAGGTGCTTCAGGGGGAATGAACAGAACAGGTGAGCATTAAGTGATCCATCCCCCGTCATCAATTCCCAGCCTATCCTAGCTAATAGCTAATGATGTACCTATCCTCCATGAATTTATCTAATTCTTTTTTGAACCTTCTTATAATCTTTGCCTTCACAATATCCTCTAGCAAAAAGTTCCACAGCTGAAGGTGCACTGTGTGAAGAAATATTTTCTTCGTCTGAAAGACCAGCTATTCTGCTACATAAACATACTAAAATGTTTGTGGAATTGGGATAAAGACACTTATTTTGCTATTATTTTACTGTCTCCCTTTTTAATTACAGAAGTGCTGCCCCTACTGCTTCAATGAGTTCTTCTAATTGTTAAACATTATATAATTGCAATTATTAACTTACATTATTTGTGTGTTATTAATATAATACCACAAATACTTTTTTCAAACATTCTAATTCAAAAACATATATGGCGTCAGCAGTCTCTTTTGAAGCAACTATAATGTTTACTTTAAAATGGAACTTTAATGCTTCTGAAAATTGAACTTGTTATTAAGACTAATTATTTTGACTAGAAGTCCATACCTGTTGCAATAGTCAACTACAGACTCTCGAGTTGTAAACAAGGCTTCTTCTCCCTTCTTGGCTTTTGCCCATTTAGAATCCAAAAGGCAGTCCACAGCTTTTGAGGCTGAAAGGAAGAAAAAGAAAAAACAAACCTGTGATAAAATATGGAAAAAGCTCACTTCAATATCTGATCTACCTTCTACCTGAATATTATAAACAGAGAATCTGTAATCAGTTATCTTAGTTTTGCTAAACACAGGAACAAAACTCTACCTGCATAATGAAACAAACAAACAAAAATACATCCTTCAGGTGCATCTACACAGCAGGGCTTCAAAAATACACCCTTCAGGTGCATCTACACAGCAGGGCTTAACTTGAAATAAGCTACGCAAATTAGGCTACGTCAATTCCATAGCTTATTTCAAAATAGCTTATTTTGAAATTGGGAGCGTCTACAGAGCACTCTTCCTCCGACTTCCCTTACTAATCGTACAATGACGGTTACAGAAGTCAGAGTAAGAAGTATTTTGATATTATTTCGAAATAACTGCCTGCTGTGTAGACACAGATTAAGTTATTTCAAAATAATGCTAGGTATTTCAAAATAACGTTGCTGTGTAGACGTACCCTTAGAGAGGCAGGCCGCAGTGTTGCAACGGAACTTCTATTGATGCCAATAAGAACTCTGCCTGCCTAAAGAATCCAGGTTCAGATGCATACTTTTTACAATATTATATTTTTACTGGATATAGCAAGATCAAATCCTACCTAAAATAAGAATTTTGTTATAAAAGACCTTTACCAGAACTATGGTGTGAGGATTTTCTGTTTAACAAATTCCAATGGAATCTTGCTGAAGTGCAGGAAGTAAAACAAGTAAATATTTTTGAAGTCAGATTTTTAAAATTTATTTCAGGTCATGACATTTTTATTTTTAACATGACAGTTAAATCTTTAAATATCCTTGGCCAAATTCTATGAAAGGACTATCTAAAGTAAAAATGTAGCACAAAATATGAAATGGGTTATGTCCAACCTCAAAAACTAACGCCACCACACTAATGGAGCAGATAAGATAAAAAGGACAACTATTTGTTTATTCTGGAAAATTCTGATTAGCCTGTCTCCTGAAATTGCTGTCGCACATCTACTGTATAAACTAGCTTGCAGACGTAAAATGTCCAAACATGTAAAAATGTGTAAACATGTGCATACGGGTTCAGATAGATTGTCTGAAACCCCCTTGCCTATGATGATGTTAGCGAGCCCTGCTAATAAATAATGATAAGGGGTATCAATTACAAAGATAAGTTTCTGGATGAGAACAGAATAGCCAATGTAGTACTGTCTTGCAAAGTCTGCATACAGTACTTCTGTTATTCCTCATAGCTTAGTGAGGTTGCAAAACAATGAAATTAACGAGATTCCAGTTAGTTTCTGCTTCCATTCAGAACCTACTAGGGATGTAAGCAAGTAGTCAAATGGAGTTCTCGACTATTCACTCCCTCCCTCCTCTGTATGAGGAGCAGCAAGGGACAGGAGGGAAACAGGAGCCAGTGCTTGGGAAAGCAGGGTTAAAAGCCAGTTCCCCCGAGGCACCAGCTCCACAATGCTTCTTCCTCCTCTCGGGGGGGGGGGGTAAATACAGGAGGCTGCTCCGGCAGCAGCAGCCCCTGTTCAGGCTGCTGGACCCAGTGCGAGCTCTTACTACATTTAAGATGCAGAGCCGCAGCAGTCCAGAGCCGGCGCGAGCCAGGACTGCTCACTCCCGGCTCTAGCCAGCTCCCACTGCATCTCTGCGGAGGACCTCCATATCAACTAATCATGTAGTCAATACAAATTGTATCAACTACACGATTAGCCAGATAATTGCTATTTAGCATCCTTAGAACCTACAGTGAAACTATCATGTTAATTTAATACTGCTCCTTGACAAAGCTTTGACTTTATTCACAAAGATAAACTAAGATTAAAAGAGGGATTGTGTAGTGGGAATTTACTGTCATTTTTCCCATAGCAACTTAAAAGCTCTGGGGAAGAAAAGTAACAGAATCTGTCCCCCAGGATATTTAAGAGGATGTGAAAGAGACAGAAAGCTACTTCTCCCTTTTAGCATCTAAAGGTGGGTGTGGTGTCATATTTATCAGACACCTACTACTCAGTAACTGCTATGAACATCAGAGCCCCCAAGTAGGGTACAGGGATTCTGACTCTGGCTGCTTTCCTGACTGTGTCTTCTGCATCTACTTCAGGATGGTAAAAGTAATCTTCTGACTAATACGTGCCTTGTTAATTTCCCAGGGCTATAAACCTTATACAGCTTACTAATTAAAATACCAATAACCTGAAATTTAAACAAGTTCAATGTTAATAAATATGCAGCATCATTATTTGGTTACAAGTAATCTTACCAATAAAATAATCAACTCTGTGACCCATCATGTTCGTAGATTTTGTTGGACAGTTGAAGCGTAGGTATTTGGCTACAGCTTTCTCCTCTTTGAATGGCTCACCAACTTCCTATAAAAATATAAAGTTAATACTGGTTTAAACACACGGGCAAGATAGTTTAATCTGAACTTAAATCTTGACTGCTTTAAAAAGACCCAGGTCTTTTTATAGCACTATATAAATAACAAGCACCACGGTATAAATGTGTAAAAAGTCAGGGTCCTTGCTCCAAAGAACTTTCAGTTTATATAAGACAAACTGAACTAAAAGTTCATTTCTGAGATGGTCTGAAGACTATGTCATGATATCAAAGCTTGAAGGCTTTGCTGAAATGAGTTAGAGAAGGAAGGCACTTGGTACATGGAAAGTGGGATGCTGTTCCAAGTAAGGATGTTAAGTATTGTGGCATTCACTAATTGAATAGTTGATGCAAAAATACATCAATTATTCAATTAGTCGATAGAGTGGTGCTGCCCCTTTGAAGTACCCCCCTCTTCCCCTCCACTGCTGCCTCTATCAGATAGAGGCAGCAAGTGGGGGGGGGAGGGAGGGAAGCAACTAATTGACTATTTGCTTATCGGATAGTCGACTAGGGGAAGCAACTAATCGACTATTTGCTTATCGGATAGTCGACTAGTCCTTAACATCCCTAGTTCCAAGCACACAGGACTGCGTGAAGTTATGAAGTTGAGAGTGGAAAGAGACAGAATAGGGAGAATCCAGGAGTCAGAGACTGTCAGATGAAATGTGCAGATACATTGGTAGAGCTGAGTGGCATAGAACACTATGAAAACCTTGAATTTAATGTGGAAAAAGAGTAGAAATTATGAAGTCTTTCAACATATGGAGGCACTTACAAAATCTCACTACTGGTTGCTATTATGTCAGTGATTCTCAACCTTTTTGGCCCGAGGCCCACCTCACCAATGCAGAACTTTCCACGGCCCACCAGCCAACCATCTATGACAAAATGGGTGTAGAAGGTGGGAGTGTGAGGTCTGGCCTGGAGGTGAGGTGCAGGAGCAGGCTAAGGGTGGGGGAGGGGCTGTCTGGCCAGAAGGTAGGATGCAGGAGCAGGATATAAGCAGGAAGGTGCAGGACAGGGGTGGGAGGTATGGAATCTGGATATTAGGGAAATGGGGGGAGGTGCTTATCTGCCCCCACACCTCCCACCGCTCCCATTGTCCATGATTCTGGCCAATGGAGCAGGGGGGAACGCCTCCAGGCAAGTGGTTTCTTGAGCTGCCATTCCCCCAGTCAGGGGGAGGGGGAGCAGGAACATGCGGAGCTGCTTCCTGACCCCACAAACTGGATCTGGCCTGCGATGTTTATCCCTTCTTCCCCATAATGGGAAGCTGGTGCTGGCACTCCAACCTCATGGGGAGTGGTAGGAGGTTGAAACACCAGCATAGGCTCCCCACTGTGGGAAAGGGGAGCTCTGAGCCCACAACCCACCTGCAATAGGGTTGCAAACTACGGATGTAAGTAATTGACTAGTCGACTAACCAATATGCCTGTATCAGAAGCAGCAGTGAGGGGGGAAGTAGGAGCTGGTGCTGGGGGGAGCTGGCTTAAAAGCCGCTTCTCCCCAGCACCATCTCTGCAGAGCTGCCTGCCCTGCCAACATGCTGCTGCCTCTATCAGAAGCTGGGCAGGCGGGGCCTGCCAGCTTTGCTCCTGGTAGGTGGACACAGTTTAACTGATAACATTAACCAATAAGCATCAGTTTATAAGTTAACCAGTTAAACTCTAACATCTCTAAGTTATGTATTGGTTATTTTTAATCCATAACATACCAATTATGAAACATCTGAGGTTTTGCACTTAAAATGTATTGCTATAATTCTGCAATAAGCATTTTAAATGGAAATTCAAAGGATCAAGTATTTTTTTATTAAACTAAACTGAAGATTTAGACAGAGTGAGAGTATATTATGAAAATCAAATTATTTTAACACAACTACTAAGAGCTTGTAAAATAAATTGGTTGATGAGTGGTCATCCAATCTGAGCATACTGTTGCCTTTCCTCTCTCAATGGACACCTTTAAAAGGAAATTATGCCTAACATATGACACCCAAGTTAGCAAATGACAGAATGCACTGGGTAATAGGAATGTAAAAAACATTTTAAAAAAGTAACTGTGTAACTGTTAAAATCCGAGCGGTTACAGCACTGCAAAGCACATCAGCAAATAAGTTTAACCACATCAAGAACCAATAAATCAATGCTTATCAATTAAACAGTTAAAACTTTTACGTCCCTACTGGGTAATTCTCAGAATGCCAGTATCTTCAAGACTAAATCCATTGGAGGATATGTCCTGGCCACACACATATGCAACACACAAAGTTAAAAACATATGCCTGTGTCACAGTGGATGATTATAAAGGCCATGCCTAATTTTTAATTCTAACCTTATGCCAGATGATTTGGTCCCTTCTCCACACCTGACTTGGATTTTTGGAGACCAAACTATTTGTCTGACTGTCAGTAAGAGCTGTCATCATGGAATACATTATCTTTGGCTTTACATCCTGGTTTGCTACTTCTCCTGTTTTTCTTGTTCTTCATGTCTTCCTCCTCTACTTTCTGACATCTCCTGCATGTACATTCCTTTCTATCTCTTGCCATTCTCCCTCCATTTCTCTCCACCCAGAATTTTCTAGCATCTTACCTCTTTTTAAAAACAAAAACAAGCAAACAAAAAAATCCTGAAACTGAAAAGATCCCTAATAAATAAGAAAGTTGGATAAGTTTTAGTGAAAAGTATTCTATTGTCATTTCTGAAGACCAGTTCCTTATTCATCCACAGAACAGGTAAACCACAGGAAACAGTGGTGCAAGGTATTGTACAATGTCCTGCCCACAGATTTCAACCCAACTGTGGAAGAACCAACTGTAGGATTGTGTAGTTAAATAGCTTCATAAAAATAATGACCAACACATCTTTTAATGTAATTGATTCCCAAAAGCCTGAGTATAGTGGTTAGAGGAACTGACTCAAAGTCAAGAAATCCAGGTCCACCACCAATATGCACTGAGCCATCACTAAGCAATTCACTACAACTTCCATTCCCAGGTCCACCACCAATATGTACTGAGCCATCACTAAGCAATTCACTACAACTTTTGCCTCAGTTTCTCCATTGATAAAATAGTGTTAATAGGTAATAGCCATCATATTTATTAATATTTGTGAAATATGGTGACACATTTTCAACATTTTGTTTAATATAGTTCTCTTCCAATTATCTCAGCTAAACTACCACCCAAGTAAGAGTTACAATCTGGCTCCCAAATCCCTTTTATTAATGCTTCAAAGAGCAAAAAATTTAATAAATTTCAGTGTGCTGCTAAGATACTACATACAGGAGAACTGAGTAGCAGGAAAACAGCACTGAGTGGAAACAGGAAAAAGAAAAAATTGGTGAGGGTGGGATTTCAAGGAGAGAAATACAACTAGATACGGGAAGAATGAGGGGCTAAAAATGGGTAATAAATCCTGGTTGAATATGAGAAACTTATTTCTTCTAAGTTAAGAGACTAACCTCCTTCATTGTTCTATATCAAGATTCATAGATTCTAAGGCCAGAATCATTGTAGAACTCTAGTTCGATCTCCTGTAGCACAGGCTACAGAATTTCCCAAAAATAATTCCTAGAGCATATCATTTAGAAAAACATCCAATCCTGATTTAAAAATTACTAGTGATGGAGAATCCACCATGAACCTTGGTAAATTGTTCAAGTGATTATTATTCTCGTTAATAATTTCACATTGGATATAAAGTGTAATTAGTCTAGTTTCAACTTCTAGTCATTGAATGTGTGTTATAACTTTCTCTGCTAGATGGAAGAGTCCACTACAAAATATGTATTCCCATGTAGATACGCGTGGATGTAATCAAGTTACCATTTTACCTTCTCTTTATTAAGTTAAATAAACTGAGTTCCTGAAGTCTATCACTATGGGGCAGGGTTGCTAATCGTTTAATCGGTCTCATTGTTCTTTGAACCCCCTGAAATTTTTCAACAACCTTGTAGACTTGTGGCCACCAGAATTAGACACAGTATTCCAGGAGCAATTGCAACAGTGCCAGAGACAAAGATTAAATCACCTTTTTACTTACTCAAGATTTCTGTTTATGTATCAAGGGTTGCAATAGTCCTTCAGGCCACAGCCTTACACTGGGAGCTCATATTCAACTTAGGGATTTAAGCGACTAGTTGAGTCAATTACTCACTTCCCCTCCCCCTTGCTGCCTTTCTATCAGAGGCAGCAAGGGGCGGGGAAGGGGAAGCAGAAACCGGTGCTGGGGGGAGCCAGGTTAAAAGCTGGTTATCCCCAGCACCCTCTCTCTGCTGTGGAGTGGGTAGGGCAGGGAAGGCAGAGGTACAGCCTGTTGCGCCCAGCTTCTACTACATTTAAACTGCAGAGCCGCAGCGGGGATAGCTCCTGGATCCTGCAGGAGCTGGGACAGAGTGCCTCCCCTTATTGACTAATTGTGTACTGTAGTCAATACAAATTGTATTAACTACACAATTAGTCAATTACCCACTTCTTAACATTCTTAAATCAACTGATTATCCAACATAACCCCATATCTTTTTTAGTCATTGCTTCCAGGATAGAGTTCCCCTTTCTTTTTAGTATGACCTACGTTTTTTATTACTAGATTAATACATTTAACCATACTAAAATGCATACTATTTATGCTCAGTTTACCAAGCAATCTAGGCTGCTGTCTATTAGTGACCTGTCCTCTTAATTTACCATTCCCCTAATTTGTGTGTCATCTGCAAACTTCATCAGTGATGATTTTATGTTTTCTTCCAGGTCATTGATAAAAAAGATAAATGGTGTAGGGCCAAGATCAGATCCCTGCAGGACCCCATTAAAGATATACCCACTTGCTGATTGCCTGCTTCCAGTTACATTTTGAGACCTGTAAGTTAACCAACCTTTAATCTATTTAACATGTGCTCGGTTAATTACATATTGTTGTCTGTGCCACAGTCTCCTCTTAAAATCCTATGAATACATTACATACCTAGCCCATGCATTCTATTGAAAGACACCCCAAAATAACTATTTTAAGAAAACTGTATATAATTTTAAAACTTATTGGAACTATTTTCATCTCTCTCCTTCTGTAAAGTCGTGATAGAAATGTAGCCGTGTTAGTCTGGTGTTGCTGAAACAAAAAACAGGACTATGTAGCACTTTAAAGACTAACAAGATGGTTTATTAACAAGATGGTTTACTCTGTTAGTCTTTAAAGTGCTACATAGTCCTGTTTTTTGTTTCTTCTGTAAAGTCATTTGACTTCATATTACCATGAATTCAATGTCAGACACATAAAACCCCCGAAGAAAGTATTTAAAACTGTTTCTCTAAACATAAAATTGTTTTGACTATACTATTGCCTTTGCACCTTCTATGGCTAGATCTCCAAATGCTGGGACTCTCTCCTTTCTCAATGGATAAAGCTCCTACTTACTACCTAGCAAGGCTACAAGACATCAGACTTAAAAGGCTTTTTTATAGCGAGGGCCCTACAAAATTAACAGTTCATTTTGATCAATTTTAGTCACAGAATTTTAAATAATAAATTTCATTTTTTTCCTGTTATTTAAAACTGACATTTCAAGGTGGTGTAATTTTGGGAGTCCGAATTTTAAATAATAAGTTTCATTTTTTTTCTGTTATTTAAAACTGAAATTTCAAGGTGGTGTAATTTTGGGAGTCATAAGGGTATTGTAGGGGAGGTTGCAGTACTGCTACCCTTACTGCTGTGCTGCTGCTGGAAGTGGCATTGCCAGCAGCTAGAGAGAAGCAATTGCTGATTGGGAGCATGATATGGAATTGCCACTCTTACTTCTGCTCTGCTGCCTTCAGAGTTGGATCTTTGGTCAGCACATCTGGGCACAACTTTCTGAAGGTAGTTCCATGTAAAGATATCCCCCATAAACATCCATGCAACAGCCCTGCAACTCCCTTTTGAGTCAGACCCCCCAATTTGAGAAACAATGGTCTCACCCCATGAAATCTGTTTAGTATAGGGTGAAATCACACAAAAGACCAGATTACACAGTCCATGACATTTTTTTTTATGGCCATGAATTTGGTATTTATAGCTATTCACTGGCAGATAATTTGAAGTTTAAACACAAGTCTATAACAAACAGTTGGGGTGGAGTACCCAAAACAAAACAGACTCCTAATTTTGATGAAGGCTTCTAGCTTCCACTGATTACAATAGAAGTCGGGAGCCTACATTGCTTCATGGATTCATTCCTGGTTCTAGAAAATCTTAAGTCTGGAGCCTACACTGTTTCATGGATTCATTCCTGGTTCTAGAAAATCTGATATACATTTATAATAGTAAATGTTTCTATCTTAAGAGAGGCAGCCTGCAGTACATTACTTTAAAAAGTGGTAATTCATTTTGAACTATGCCAAGAAGTTAAGAAAAACAACCTCCATTGACTCATTTTAGCCAATTGAGAACAATGCATGTTAAACAGAACTCTCTTTGTGGACTCATCTACTACATTATGTTTGATATATGAGAAACTATTAAGAAGGCAACATATGTTTATCTACATAGATGTGTTACAAAGGTAAGCATTGGTCTTGCCAACTCTTAGATACATTCTTAACTTTAAGCACGTGAATAGCCCTGTTAAATTCAAGAGAACTTCTTAAATGCTTTAAGTATGAGTGTTTGCAGGATTGAAGTGTTAAGTTATTACACCAGACATTAAATGTCATATTTAAATTGTTATTGGTGAGTGTTTTCGTGGGCAGTATTTAATCCATTTTGTTTGTTATATAAAAATAAATAATTCAGTAACTGATACTTTAGGTTGAACCTCTCTCGTCTGGGACTATCTGATCTGGCAACATGCCTGGTCTGGCAAGATCACAGATGTTGCTAGACCAGAGAGCTCCAGCCCCAGAGGTTGAGAGGGGCTGGGAGCAGAGCTGGTCTGGTTGGTGGCAGTCTGCAGGGTCAGTGACCCAAGGTAAATAGCCCTAAAAGCAGCTGCCGCCATGAGGGGGATGGGAACCCCAGGAGCAGCTGTCGCCACATGCACAGGGCCGGGGAACCCCAGGAGCAGCTGCTGCACATGCAGGGCCAGGGCATCCTGGGAGCAGCTGCTGCTGCGCATGCAGGGATGGGAAACTGCTGGAGCAACTGCTGCTGTGTGTGCAGGGGTGGGGAACCCCGGGAGCAGGGCCATTCAGGTGAGCTAGAGCCATTCAGGCTTCTCTGGAGCAACAGCCATGAGGGGAACTCCGAGAGAGCCCAGACACCGGACCAAGGAGGCTCAACCTGTACCAATTTCTTCCTTTTTTAAACTGTAATTTTTTTAAAAGGTTAGAAAAAAAATAGGTCACAAGCACAGGAATGAATCCTGTCCTTTTAGGCCTCAATTAAGGTATGATTCCCACCCCCAAGCCTCCCCAAAATTCCACACTGGGAGAAAGAAAAAGGAAACATTTATCTGACAGATTTTTGTTTTTGACGGCAGCTGTTTGACATTTATCACAGGCACTGTCTGCTAGAAGAAGTCCCAGGGTGATAGATTAGGAGACATGGAGCAAATGAGATGATCAACATGAAAAATAAGTGTGTGTACTATATGATTCTATAATTCTTTAAGTGAATACTGCATCCATGGGTTCACAAATGTGCATACACATATATTTCCAGACCAAAAAAAAAATGTTAAAATGAAGCTAAGTTTGAGTGTATGTATCAGTAATTTAATAGTAATAAAACACTACTGAGATGTTTTAATTACTGCTAAAAGATGCTGAATTTCCTGGGTTTGTAATGCATTAAAATTACATTTAAAAGAATCCAAACATACTCAGGTTAAAAAAAAAATACACAATGAAGAAATCTTAACCTTATTTCTGCCTGAAGTGAGGTCATGCAATAACCATACAATTTTGATTAAGGGATTTTTGCATTTGTGATCCTAGATTAAATTAATTCCTAAAGACAGATTTTTTGTTTTTGTTTTTTTAAACATATTCTCCTGCCTGCATGGCATCATTTTCTGAGTTTGCAATGCTTAGTTTTAAGAGAATTACAATTTCTCCATACTGTTTTCAACAATTAAGTTAAGAATATATTTGATGTATGCTCTCAAACTTAATTCTACATTCTAAATGTGTTTCTTTTCTCAGAATTTCTGATTTTTCATGCATAAACTTTAAACAAGCAACCTAAGAAGAATATTACCACACAATATTTCTAATTATTTGAAGATCTGCATTACCACCTCAAGTAATTTTTAAATGTTAAATTTAGGGGCAGATTCACTGACTAGTATAACATATCAGCCAGAGCACATCACCTAGTTATGATGATTTTACAGCTGCTTTGCATCATCAGAGCAGCATCAAGCATACTGGAGAATCTGACTCAGAATTTGCAACTGACTTATTAAGTGAGATGGCTGTTTTAGCAAAACTAGCAATATATGAAGGATAAGAGATCTTAGTCTGTGAATCTCTGTGTGTCCAAGGTTTCCCCTGTGCTACTGCACAAAATTTCAATTTATTTTAACTATATGAGAAGTCTGAAATGGGATGTCTGCATTACATTAAAATCATTTTGAAAAAAGAAGACTGACAGCTGCTACATTTCTTAAAGGACATATCAAATCTCAAACTTTCACTCCATGCCTGTTCTACTGTGGATACATCATTAGCCCTTGTTTCTCCCTGTCTCTGGACCAATCACTGTAGTACAGTGGTTAAGGCATCTACCTGGGAGGAGGGAAACCCTAGATTCAGTCCCTTTGCTTTGCTCACTTGTTATTTATACACAGTGAACCAGCTTTAGCTGGGGACACTGAGGTAGCCCCACATCAGTGACTAGGACACTCTCCTGAGAGATGTGGGATACCCCTGTCCAAATCTCCCTCTGCTAGAGGGGAGGAATTGAATTGGGTTTTCCTACATCCCATTGACTGCTTTAATCATGGACCTAAAGCTATAAGGAGGGCACCAACTCCACCACTTTCTCCTCTGGCCAGATACTGACTGGGATCTGGTAGGCAGAGTCAGAAACCATCTACCAGTTTGGGCCATGCATCTCAGATAGGCAACCAAATGCCTATCTTTTGCAGGCTTATGAATCACTTTGGGCTTTAAACAAGAGATGGTGTCCCCACACCTGAAGAATGGCTGCTGTGCACACTCAAGTGTGCACAAACATAGGTACAAAGGAGAACTATTACCCTGAAAATTTAGCTGCCAAATCAGTCTACAGCATTTAGTGGGAGTTTTGTGGAGCCCAAAACTGGGACTGAAGAACCTAAGTTCCTTTGTGGATACCACACTATGTTTTAGAAACATGAACTACAGATACTTTTACTGCTCTAGCTGTATTAAATACTTTATTCCTCCACTTGAATATTTGCTAGAAAAAAAAAGCTCCTTCCCACTTTGGGTTAGTACTTGCCTAAATAAACCATTTAATATATACCTAAAGTCTATAGAATTTTGGAGGTAGAGAAGAGGTGATTCACAATACTGGAAAAAAATATCCATCATCCATAAAAGTAATCATTTAACTACATTTCACAGAAGCTTCTCTCCTTGGTACAATAACAGATATTACCTCACCTGCCTTGTCTCTTTAAGAAAGATAATCAAACATTGAAATCCATATTATGAAGAAATTCTTTTGTTTACAACTCAATAGGTCTATAAGCTGCAACAAGGTATGAGAAATCCAGTTCTTTTTAAAATACTGGTGGAAACCTCTCCGGTTGCCAAAAGAAAAAAAAATTGTGAATCTCCTTAATTCAAGGGACAGCGCACAGCGGGGCTTTCGCGACAGGTGTGGCGCACTGGGGGTGCACAGGTGTGCGTGGGTACGTCAGCGTGCACGGGCAGAAAGGGGGGCGCGCACAGCCAGGGCGGGGGTGATATAGCACAATAGGGGTCGCTTCTCGTCGCACGGGAGAGCGATACAGGGGTGCCAGGCGGGCTGGGCTCTGCGGGGGGGCTCCAGGGAGGAGGGGACACTCTGGGGCCAGGGCCCCGCGGGAGGGAGACAAGGGTTGAGGGAGCGTCGCCGGGAGCCCAGCGGGTGGGCGAGAGGCCTCCAAGCGTCGGAGGTGAGGAGCCTGGCCAGCCGCTCGAGCGGGAGCCGGGATGGGGCAGGAGAAGGCAGGGAGTGGCTGGGGGAAGCTGCACTACCTGGATCCGCTTCCTGTGTCTCCTCCGCTCGGCCATGTTGTCCCCGTCTAGTCTGCCGGTGACGTGGGGGCGGAGGCGAGAGGGGCGGCAGTCTCGCGAGAGGCTGCGGGAGCCGTTATGTAAGCGGGGCGGAGCTAGCTGGTACTTGGAGGCTCGCGCCTGGCAAGGGTGGCAGTTTTGGCGGGGCCGGGCTCGAGTCGGAGTGAGACTCCCAGTGCTTCCTCCTCACCCTGCGTGAGGGGCAGGTGTGGTGCCCACAATAGTTAGCACGTGGTAACCATTCACGTGAGGCTCTATGCCCGAGACTCTTGTCTCTCCCCTCTGTCCCAAGAATGATCCCCAGGAGCCACAATCATGGGTCGCCACCGTTTGGGGCACCTTGGTGCCTCCTGTTCTTTGCCTGTGCCACACAATGGGTCAGTCTGCTGAGGGCTGCAATGCTCTCGTCTATTGGGCTCAGTTCAAGGGATAATAGGGTGTTAAAAAGATCAGCCTAGAATCTCCTGAGATTTTTCTTTTCTGAGCTTCAGCTCTTGACTCCGTGTCAACATACACGCACGCACTCATGAATGCAGCTGTCATGGTTTAGTACAGTTAGGGGAAATGGCCCCACAAAGGTAGGGGCACAATTGTGAGAGCATTTTTGCACATTGGCTTAGAGGAAACCTGTTTTGCAAGTTACCAGAATGTGTACACACAATTTTTTAGTCAGAATTTTTGAACTGGGTGCCCAAAGTTAAGCTGCTAAATTTATATTTACTCAGGTGCTTTTTTTTTTTCATCTCTGCCACACTGTTCTGATGTTTTATTCCTGAGCAATACAAAGCATGTCACAATGTACCAGAAGTGTGGCAGCACTCCAGGTACATTCTGCTAGGTACACTATTTTATGCCAATAGGTTAAACAAACCAAAAAATATCTGCATATGGCCACAGATGTTAGTCTCGAAACTGTACCTCAAATCTATATTAATGGCCCATTCTTTTGATTATAGGCACATAAATTTAGAGTGGACAGTTGACTACAGGTTCCTAGATGAGCGATTAGATCAAAGCAAAGGTAGTTAATGTATCATGCCTCCATTTGTAGTTGCCTGTTGATATGTTAGCAAGTGATAAAGGCTTTGAACCTTTAAGTTAGTCAGATCCTTCCCTGTAGTTTAAGCAATAGGTGTAGATATAATCTCAAATACCTTTTTATCTGAGATTGTTTCATCACATGCTTTTATTAATAGGCCATACAAAGTGTGTTTAGTTCTGTACCAAAATATTCAAGCCACACCAAACTTTGTGCCTGGTTATTCCTGCTAATCTGGAACCTCTCTTCCTTGTCTCAGTTTGTATTCATGTGCATATTACAATTATGCATTCAATCGAAAACTAGGATGCAAAAACAAGTTTAAAATAGTTTCAAATACCATATTTGCCCTTGAATTATTCTGCCCACTTCTGTGACTTTATAATTACAAGTTAAACTGACTGTAGATGGGACTAGACACAAAATAAACTTAAAATTTTGGGAAATCAAGTTTTAGTCTATTTAAGATACCTGTTTCTTCTAAAAAGAGTGGGTAAGATAGACAGAAGTGTGCAGGGGGAGGAGGTGTTTAGGTTGACTTTGGCCTTTTAATATTTATTTAATGTGTTAGCTGTTGATGTGACAAAACAACAGGCCGAAATTTAACTTTATTGTGGAAGAGATTTTTCCCGTCTCCTCAATGGCCAAGGATGGCAACACTTTACTTGGCACAAGTAGTGGAATGCGCAACTACTAACAGGACATTGACATGTGGAAACATGACTTGACATGTAGAATAATGACAAGTGGCATGTGATGTAATACTTAAATCTATCTTATGAGAAGCTTTCTGCTACTACACTTTGGCTACTCAGGTTAAATAACTATTAATACAGTCCCCTCTTTCCCCCCACACGCAACTCTTTAAGAAGAAATCTCTCACTCTTTGGAACAGCAGACTATAACCTGTGCTAAAACTCTGTTGTGCATGTGAAGTAGCACTTCTCTGCTGCTAAAAAAGCAGATTTGTTAACTGAGTCGTTATCACATTTGGAGTTTAAATAAAGAACAGCCGAGTTTCTTAATTCAGTTTACATACTGACCTTTCATGAAAAAGCTTCATATATAATTTTTTCCACTCCATTTTCAGATCTCAGAATTATTTGATACATTTAACTTACAGTTACTTAGTGAGTTATAAACAAACACATGAAATACTAACAATGAGTTTGTCTTTGACCCTTGTGCCCTGATAGTGAAATTGCCTCCTTTTCAAACTGCATTGTTCATGGCTAGGATGCATATTTACTTCAACAATGGCTGGTTATCCCAAATGAGGAAATGGGATGTCACATGGCTCACATGATAATAATAATAAAGTCTCTCTTGAGGCCCTTATTCATCAAACAGATCCCACAGTGCAGACCCCTTTGAAATTAATGTAGCTCCACATGTATACAGGGGCATGCTATGGGGGAGTCTAACTGTGGGATTGGAGCCTAAGTTTTAACAGTGCCCTGTGAAAGAAAAAAGGAGATTAGTTTTGTTGCTTTTGTTGTTGCTTTATCCATATTTTTTTTTCATTTTTGGTTTTCTTCCAATCACACGTGCTTTAAAACTTTAGAAATATCAAGCATATCAATGCTGGTATTGGGAGACACCCCTATAGCACTCACACTTCTGATTTTGCAGTCTAAAAAAGTAGGCAGTGAGCCTCTACATAACATGTTAATCAACTAATTGTTTTAAAGTTGAAACCACATAGTAGGGAAATTCATGGTATTGGAGCAACACTTGGAAAGTCTGCATGGAAGAATGCAAACTTAGATTAATTTAGCTATGCAACAAATAGGGATGAACTAAAGGCCAACAAAATAGAGGAAATGTTATGGCCACAACCTTGAACTGAAGGGTAGATGGTAGAGCCATCCCAAAGTAGAATGAAGGGACTATGGAACTCCAGGGGATGATCCAAATAGGGATAGGAATGCATACCAAGAATCAAGAAGTTTCATTGCCTACAATTGCCTATCCTGGTGGAACCAGATAATGGAGAGACATTGTTTTACAGATCATATCAGTGCTGCCAGCATACCTCCTGTGCCAGTACTGAGTAACCAATAAGAATTCATGCTGTTACTCAATTATTCAATTAATATTTAACATCCCTAGTTGACATACCTGGAATTCCTGGTTAGGATAGATGGGAAGGTTTTATTCTTAGATACTGAGGGATTATAGAATTGTTCATGATGTCTAAAAGCTCTCTCATTTGGATTCCACTATTCCAGTACTGTCCTGTCACTGCTCTAGTTAATACGTAGAGTTTGTGAGGTCATTGGAGTGAGAAATTTTGGGCTATATTGCCATTAGTGTTCAGGTGACACACAGCTCTATATCTGATTTTTATTGAGCATATTTGGAATAGTATGTTGCTTTCCCAGTGCCTGGCCAGAATTGAATGTGGGCAGAGGAGTGAGTGAGTGAGCTGGGTGATTACTATTCAGGTCAGACAAGTTGTTAAAGCTGGTGGGATAGAGACCAACATCTAGCAGAAGGTAAGATAGTTGATGCCTGCCTCCGGATTGTGGAAGACTGACCACACTTTGTCAGTGAGGTTTGCAGTTTGGATAGAGGAAACTTTTGGATCCCACTTTGCCCAAGAATTCTAAGGTGTTGTCTACAGCCTAAAGTGCTTTTTTTTTCATCCAAGTCTGGCTAGGAAACTGAAACCATTTCAGTTGTGTGGGTCTTGCTGCTGTTATCCATTCCTCCAACTAGGGATGTCAAATTCCACTTAATTGGTTAACCAGTTAAACCAATTGTTTAATTGGTTAACTGATTAAAGGATGGGCCCAGGGTAGTCCCCCATTGCAGACAGGGGCTGCTTCAACTCACTTGGAGTAGCCCCTGTCTGCAGGGTGCCTGGGCCCACTGTGGACAGAGGCAGTTTCAAATGCTGGAGTAGCCTCTGTTTGTGGAAGGTCCCACATAGCTAGAGCAGGTCCCCTCCCACCCATAGTAGGTAGGAAGCTGCTTCAGCCCCCACCAGTTAACCAGAACCGGTAAGCATCACCAATCAAGGGTGATGTTTATCTGTTAATCAGTTAATCTTTCACATCCCTACCTCCAACATTAATTTTTGAAATGCACTGCAGAAGGGCAATACCTTCAAAAACAACTTAGAAGCTACAAGAGGTACAGAAAGAAGATGACCACCTGCAAGGAGAACTTAACATCAGTTTTCCAGACTGATTTTGCTTCCAATTGAAATTCAGGTTCTTGACAATGATCAATAAAACTCTGTATGGTCTGTTTGGAATTTGCCTAACTGAGGTGTAATTTAGAATGTTGAAGTGATCTGGGTACCTCCTTAGCTGCAAATATCTTGAAGCCAGAGTCAGAGACTTTGTTTCTAGTATGTTTATTTCTCCTAGTCTAACAGAATCAGGATTTGTTGATAATTTTATGATCTATTTTCACAGGCTTTATCACAGGACCTGGTTTTGAGGGATGTGAATGGCTCATAATGTGGAGGTGGGAATTTATTCTTCTTTGTTTATATTGGTCAACAGATTGTGTATACATTTATTTTTATGTTTGTACTTGGAGACAATGTGCTGGGCACATTTTACATATAAAAACAAGTAAATAGGTACTAGACATTGGAAGTAATATCTAAGGATGTTTTAAGCTAGCTGTCCATGAACACCACCTCCCATGTCTCCTCTCCATGCTCTCCCCCCCCCCCCCCTCCCCCATATGAGAGGCAGCAGCATGGGAGGGCAGGTGACTCTGCGGGAGCTGGTACGTGCAGGGAGCAGGTATAAAAGCTGGCTCCCTGCGCATACCAACTCTTGTCTGCCCCCCTGCCCTGCTACTTCTGATACAAATACAGAGGCAGCAGCGTGGGCAGGGGCAGTTGGCTGGATAGGAGCTGGTTCAAAATTGGGCTTTCCGCATACACCAGCTCCTACCCCCCACTGCCTCTGACACAGGCAGGGAGGACAGGGGGAGCCTGCCTGTAACCAAGAGGATTAATTGATGAGCCCAGGCTCATCTGTTAACCATGTACTTAAGTACACGTTCACATCTCTAGTAATATCCCATATATGACATTTTAAATACAGCCAATGGTAAAACTGGGAGTATATTCCATGAGCTTTAAACCAAGGGTGGGGAACCTTTTTTGGGTCAGGGGCAATTGACCCACTGAAAAGTCAGTCAGGGTCCACACACAAGTGAGAAGAAAACAAGAAAAAACCCTCATTGCGGCCCTCAACTGAGAAGGAAAAAGACACTCCCCATATTCTCTGGCATATCAGAGCCTAGGGGAGGACCATCTGGTAGATTTTGAAATCCCCTTGGGGAATGATGGCGAGTGGTGGGGAGTCTGGAGCGCCAGCACAGGCTCCCCAATGTTGGGAGGAGCCCTGAGCTTTTGGTGCCAAATCCAGGCAAGCCAGGGGCTACATCTGGTTCTTAGGTTCCCCACCCCTGCTTTAAATAGTAATGATTGATGGATTTTAATGTGTGCATATATGAAGTGAGGCATTTTGGTTTTAAGACTCACAAAGCAACCTGTATGATGAAATATACTGACAGGCATAGATGACTGTTCTTGGGGTTGTATCAAAGCAGGGGGATAGCCACAGGAGGGCCATGGCCTATTCCAGTTAGCACTCAGGCCCAGCAAAATCTGAGCACCAGCACAGTGCTTAAAGTGAGGGGGTGGAGGTTACAAACCCAGATTGAAGAGGATGACTGAGGGGGTGCTTCAGTTATTTTATTGTAGCTGCTGTTGCTATTGCCTCATTGTATTGATGAGAAAGTAGAGCTGAGCTAAATTCTGAGTCAAACTCTTCCCTATTCCATCTAGTTCCAGTTAGTGCCTTCCCATTGACTGATTGTTTAGAAGCCCAGTGTGGGGTGGGGAGAGGCACATCGCCAATGGGGAGTGATTGTGAACAGGACAGGTTACTGCTAGTGGGGAGGCAATAACCAGAGATCAACGGTGCAAGGACAGAGCCCCTTCCATGCTGGCATGTTGAAATTATAACCAGACCAAATTTGGGTGACACTGTAACCCTGTGCATGGACTTCTGCTCCTAGTTCTGGGCTTTGCTCTCTGCAACTGATCTTTGACTGGTTTCACCCTGGACAGGAGGCAGAGATGGGGAGCAGCAAGATCCTGTGTGCTTGGCAGAGAGAGATTTGTGGGGACTGACCTCCTCTTGCCTTAGACACCAGTTGCCTATGCTGATAGGGATTCAAGTCAACCATATAGGAAGATACTTAACTGCAGCAAGAAGACTCGTCAGTCCTGAGGATGTTAAATTGTGGTTAACTGGCTAATCATGTAGTTGATGCAACTTGTATCGACTATACCATTAGTCAACAGGACTGCTCTGTACCAAGCTACATTTAAAATGCAGAGGTGCTGCTGCTGGCCACGGGCAAGGGCTGTTCTGGCAGCAATCCCTGTTTGCGTCCAGCCCTCTGCAGCAAGAAGACTCGTCAGTCCTGAGGATGTTAAATTGTGGTTAACTGGCTAATCATGTAGTTGATGCAACTTGTATCGACTATACCATTAGTCAACAGGACTGCTCTGTACCAAGCTACATTTAAAATGCAGAGGTGCTGCTGCTGGCCACGGGCAAGGGCTGTTCTGGCAGCAATCCCTGTTTGCGTCCAGCCCTGTCCGCCGCAGCCCTGGGCCACCACAAACAGGGGCTGCTTGGTGGCAGCAGCCCCTGTCCATGGGGGGACCTCTCCTATCCTGCAAGGCAGCACTGCAGAGACATTGCTGGGGGGAACCTGTTTTCTCCCTCTTGCTGCCTCTTATAGATCAGTTCCTGAGCTAATCAGTTTCTGAGCTGCACCAGTAGCAGTATTACAAACAAAACAAGAACAACTATACTATAGTACAGTATCTGAAGGAAGTACTGTGCCCAGTTTTGGATAACCTTCTGTAAAACATTTGTGGGAATGCTCAAATTCTGGAGACGTTTCTAAGGAGAGTTACTCAACTGATAAAAGTTGTGTAAGGTCATAGGTGTGTCAACAGTTTGAAATGGAAAGCACAAATGTATAGAATTTGCAGAGACACTTATGGGGATAATACAGAGTAGGGATGTTAAATTTAGTTTAATCAACTAATTCACTAGTCATTCAGTTTGGTCCATGGAGATCGATTAGCTGATAAGTAGGAAGCCGCAATTGGATTAGCTCCTGGCCCCGGGAACTAATCCTGCTGCGGATCTGCCTTTTAAATGTATTAAGAGACTTGCCAGAGGGGACCCAGCACAGCTGGGACAGTTGTATTAAGCGCAGAGTGGGTGACCCAGTACGAGTCGGGAATCAGTTGTCTGGGCTCGCACCAGGTCTCCCTCCCCTCCCCCCCCCAGCTGCACTTCTGATTTTTAAATGTATTAAGAGCCTGCTGGCTAGTTATATGAAGCACAGTGGGGGGGGGAACCTAATGTGAGCTGGGACAGCTGATTTTTGGCTCATGCCAGGTCTCCCCATTGCACACCAGTGTCTTAAATGTATTAAGAACCTGTGGTTCTTAATACATTTAAAAGGTTGGATCTCAGCAGGGGGATCAAGCATGAACCGTGTCAGCTGATTCCTGGCTTGCCCCATCTCCTGCTGCTCGCCAACCTTAAATGTAAAAAGGCTGGCACACAGCGAGGGAACCAGGCACGAGTCGGGAATCAGCTGTCCTGGCTCGCGCCAGATCCCCCCACTACGCTTCTGATTTTTAAATATATTAAGAGTCAGTAGCCTCTTAATACATTTAGGATATGTCTAGACTGCATCCCTCTGTCTGCAGAGGGATGCAGATTAGGCAGGTCGACATTGCAAATGAAGCGGGGATTTAAATATCCTACGCTTAATTTGCATAAAAAAGGGCTGCTGTTTTTGCCGACTCAGCACTTTGTCGGCAAAAAGTGGCTGTCTAGAGGGGGATCTGTCGAGAGAGAAAGTCTTCTTCGACAGATCCCTTAAACCTCCTGCAAGGAGGTTTACAGGATCTGTCCAAAAAGGCTTTCTTTCTTGACAGATCCCCCTCTAGACTGCCGCTTTTTGCCGACAAAGTGCTGAGTCGGCAAAACAGCAGCCCTTTTTTATGCAAATCAAGCATGGGATATTTAAATCCCCGCTTCATTTGCAATGTTGACCTGCCTAACCTGCATCCCTCTGCCGACAGAGGGATGCAGTCTAGACATACACTTAAAAAGCAGAGGCATCTGGGACAGAGCACAAGGCGGGAATCAGCTGATTCCCAACTCACTCCCAGTCACTGCTACCTCCTGCCTGGCCTGCCCCCCACAGAGACCATTCTGGGGGGGGACCAGCTTTTAAGCCACCTCCCTTCAGCACCGGCTTCTGCTCCCACCCCTAGCTGCCTCTGATAGAGGCAGTGGGGGAAGCGACTAGTCAAGGGACTAGTCGATAAGCAAAAACTTATCGGATAATCAGATAATTGACTAGTTGCTTACATCCCTAACACAGAGCTTAAAGGAGACTTAAATTAATTAGGTAAGGATTTGTTTGAATTACCCACATTCTCTTGCAGTTGCTTATGTCTAAACTACATGCCTCTGTCGACAGAGGCATGTAAAATAGGCTACCCGACATAGTCAGCGAAGCAGGGATTTAAATATCCTTGGCTTCATTAAAATAAAAAATGGCCACCGCGCTGTGCCTGTTCAGCTGATCGTTGGCACAGCGCACGAGTCAAAATGCAGATCGGTCAACAGGGGAAACCTTTGTCGACCACTCCCTAATGGCCTGAAATATCAGTAGCACATGGTTTTTAACTGGCAATTCTTTCTTTCATGCACTGAATTAAAGTAATTATCTGATTTTAGGGTCAGGTGGGAATTCTTCTCACTGGTCATACTGAGTTTCCTTTAGAGATTTTTTTTCACCTTACTTTGGACTGTTAAGAAAGGAATAATCTATTAGGAATATATGGACATAGACCGCATAATCAAAATCTGCAATATGGAATCAGAGATTACTGATATTAATTGACCTTCCAAGTTCTATTTTTTTTCTTGTCAGAAGTGTTTCTAATTCAGTTATGCTAGCACAGATTGATTTTCCACATATCTAATACTACATTTTATGTAATAAGCCTTATCTTGGGGTTTGCTCTGCAAAAACAAGAAATCACAGTCCGTGCCCCTACTAACTTACACATCTAGTGCAGACCCAGGTAAAATTATTTGAACACATATAAAATCTCTTTTAAAACACATGCTTCCCTTCATTAACAGCTTAACTGCTGCCAAATGTGGCAGAGATGTTAAATTAAACATTTCCAGTGCTACCACATATATTCAGGTGCATTATCTGTGTTCCATTGTGATTTCAGTGGCACATCAAAACAAAAGAACACAGGAGTGTCATGGGGACTGGAACACCAGTAAGTAGCAAGGCTTGGCCAAAAAGGGTACATATTCAGGATTGCTAGTTATACCTCTGGTGTAGCATGTAATGTTTGTTAAAAATATAGAAAGAATGAA